AATATACATATCTATAAAATTATTCACCTTTTGATTATTTAATATATATATATGTATATATATCAAGCAAGGTAGTTATTACAATACTGAATGACGTTTTTATTTTGATTTTTATTTAGTCTAGATTTTAGATGTATCGGAATAGTTTTTACATCGTCCGTATAGTTTAGATGTATCGGAATATATTTTAACACCTTAATGTGTCATTTTGTGCGGACGCGACGGGAAATTGGAACAGAGAATTGAGACTATTAAAATTTTCCAAGACACTTTGTCTAAATTAAAAAATTTTGTAGCGAAAAAGTTACAATTGTCTGTTTCGGCGAAACGTGTAATGGGGTTAGCTTGATTCGAGTTCAAACCACAAAAATTTCCCTTGAAAAGCCAGTTTGGAAGTCGAGTTCGGCTAATTTACCATTTTCTGCTTATTTTTTATCTGATTTTTGTTTTTTAATGTTTACCTGTAAATGGTTTGATTTTCATATGTATTAATTTTTAAAACGTGTTGAACTTTTTGGAGCAACAGCTCCTGGTAACTTTTAGGCGAGCTTACAATTTCTAATATATTATATATATATATATATATCTATATATAGATATATATATACTCTAAATACAGTAAAAAAAATTAAAACTATTTATTTACTTTGCATAGACTAGGGTTGCCACTCAAACAGGATAATGAAATTCCCTGACTTTTCCAGGTTTTCCATGTATGTTTCGAGAAAATTCCAGTCTATCCGCGTAATGTACGTTGGCTGTGCTAAGAGGTAAATTAATTATGGTATTACTTGTACTGTGTAGCAAATTCACTTAATTATTCAATAAATCCAGAGGACATTTATTCTTAATTATTCTTAGTACACTTTGTTTACTTTTCCACTTAAAAACTTAATAAAATTTAAGATATATACATTGGATAACAATGTACGTTTTATTTAATTATTACTCATGATCATCCCAGTTCAACACGAGGCTAATCCGGTTCTTATAAATCACAACGCAATGCTAAAAGTTAGGTTAGATTTTAGGTAAATTTAATTTGTGTTGGTGTCTTCTTAAAAGGCACCTTAACACTTGAAAACACAAATACAAATATAATTATAATAGGAGTTGTTTTCTCCACTGAAGATTGAGATTAGAATCTTCCCAATCTGGAATAAAATAAGGGTTTTTTTTTGCAGACATTCTGCAGCTAAACGAAAGAAAGAAATCTATTTAATGATATTTTTTTACTAAATTGAGGTATTTTATATTTATTTCGCAGCATACATAAGGAAAAAATATGTGCATTAAATTTCGTGATGTCATCATACTGCTAGAATTAATTTCAGGATTATGCCAGAGAAAATTTCCTGAAATTTGGAAATATTATTTACTAATGATAAATAAATTTAGAGGGAAGAAGCAACATTAAATGATATGAATAACATAAAAATAAAGATAATTACTTAAAAATTTAATTAGAATAATCAACGATATTTTAGCGAATATAGTTATATTACATGGTTATCCTAGATGATTGATTACTATTTTTTTATTTTACTGCAAAATGACAAGGTATTTATTAAAAAGAAAAAAAAAAAAAAAAAAAAAAAAAAAAAAAAAAAAAAAAAAGATTTTGCGGTAAAATCCTAGTATACGATACGGCCTTCGCATGATTTTGAAAATTGTCGCCAAGAACAAAATGACCCGTTTACTGCTCATCATCATGTCGCCAAATCCCGCTGTACCATACATGGAGATTATTCTAACCAAAGAACGTCTATGTAAAGAAGAAAAGGTTCCATACACGTAAATGCTATTACGCCGCTAGAAAGCGGAGGGAAAATTTGCCAAGGGATTTGGCGACGGAACCTGGCGGCCAGAATTTCCCTCTCCGCGATGTGTACAGGAAATTGAGAAACACGTGTTAAGAAGAAACGTTCTTTGACAAAAAAGAAAACTACGAAAATCCGTTTTTAAATTATTGCGAAAAATCCAAGAAGAAACGTTTTATCAAAGAACGTTTTTTCTTGGATTTTTCGCAATAATTTTAAAAACGGATTTTCGTAGTTTCTTTTTTTCCCCCCCTCAAAATAACTAATCCATGAATTAATTTACTTGCGCCAAAAATATTTTCTTTTCCTTTAGAGTTTAAAGAAATTTTAAACGATATTCATTTTATGAACTCTTGATAACGTGACCTTCGAACTTCGACACCGGTTTCGAGCTTTGGCGACAGATATATCGCACATGCACAGCTGTTTCCCTCTATGATGGAACGGAGCCACGTCTGTTGCAGAGAGGTTTTCCTTCTTTACAATACATATTTTTTTATTCTAACCTTCATGGTACCGTATACTAGGATTAAACCCATTTTGTTTTATACGAGAACAGGTACTTTCTTTAGTTCATGCACTGCACATGCGATTCTCGAGGTTACTGGAAACCAAAAGTTGCGGGAAACTTGATTTGCCTTTCTAAAAGACAATCAAATTGGAGCTGTGAAAATTGGCTCTATGCCAGCTGCCCGAATGACACTCACGTGATACACAATTCGCCAAAAAAGTGATCTCTTCCGACGTCGGCGCAAAACTCGCGCCTTTTTTGGCGGGATCGTTGTATGAAATTCCCTGACTTTTCCAGATTTTGACTAAAACACTTAAATTCCCTGACTTTGCCCTGAATTTTTTGGTCAATTTCCGAATTCCCTGACTTTTTCCGGTTTTCCAGGTAGCGTGGCAACCCTGATAGACAAAAATCTATTGAAGATGGACAAGACAAAGTTTAGAAAATTTCAGAATGTTTAACATAAGAAAACTAATCTAAATACTTCACTTCTTATAAGTCTCTAATTAGTATCTTCATCGTCCGTATATTCCAGACATCGTATTTTTGTAAGTGAATGTCGCTTGCAGGTATATCTGCTGCACATATAGCATTTCATGGATGCTGATGATCGTTTCCTTTCTTTCACACACAAACTGCAAGTTTCTTGTTTCAGTACTTGCTGCTCAATTGTTCCCTCAGAAGGCAATGAATAATTCATATTTAGAAATATTGAAATATCACATGGCAATGAAGAGATTTTGGTTCGAGCTGTAAGGTGTACTTTCCTAAGCCTCAGAGCTAAGTTTTTTTAAAAAAGTTCTTCGGCTGTGTTGATTATCAGGTTTCTTTAGCAAGTATAAAATTTTTGTTTATTATTCGGGCAATGTTCATGAGATTAAAAGACTGCACATGGCCATCTCCTTGTTATCTGTGATATTGAGTAAGTAGTGCACATCTGGTCAACAGTATCGTTACCTCCTTTCGTAAAGTTGGTAATCCAAGATAATTTCAGGTTTACCAGTGTCATTATCAATACTTGGTGTGTCATGCATCGTTGAAAGCAGTATAAAGGATTTGTTTTTGCAAGCATCATACAAAGCAAGAGTTTTATCTTTTTTAAACCCAAGTATACTCAATCCCTTTTTTTTTTTTTTTTTTTTTTTTTTACACCTGAAAAATTCTGGTGGAATTTCTTTTTTGTTCTTTTTCAGTAAACCTACAAATGTCAGTTTTTTTTTTTTTGTAAGTAATCAGCGAGTGAAATACTTATGTAATAATTGCCTGTAGTTACATTTCTGCATGAATTTTCAATTGGAGGAATCAGTCTTTTTACAACATCTCACTGGGCCACTTGGTTGTGATCCACAATAAATTTTGAGATTATATGTATATAAAATGTCTTTGAATCACACAGACAATACATTTTTATTCCATATTTTGAAGGTTTACTGGGGATACAGTGAATAAACTGGCAACAACCATGAAAGGGATGCAACATTTCATCTATTGTACTAAATTCACTCATATTATAGAAGTCATAGTAGTTCCTTAGAAAACTGTCAAAAATTATTTGTATAGCTGCTAGTATATCTATTTTAGATGTTTTTTCTAGTGGTTCTGTCATCATAGGAAAGACATCATGTTAGAAATAAAAATCTTTTATAACTCATTACTGCCCTTGCAATTTACACTCCTGTGTCGTCGTTTGTAAATAACTCCTTGACATAATGATTAACGATATCTTACAAGAAATCAGATTTATCAGCTGCACACAGCAACACTATTTCTGAACTTACTGATATTTTGCAGTATACATTATTTGAATTTGCATTCTGGCAGGAAATTGAAATCAGACGGGAAAGTTTCTTAAAATAAAAATAATTGATTAGTACAAAATAAGGTCTTTACAAGCTTATTGAAGCATAAAAAGAAATATTCTTCCATGATTGAGTAATCACCGATTTCAACGTACAATAATTTAATTTTGCTCTCCACTTTGGCAAACAGATCTAGACAGGGTACTGAATAAATTTTTCTTACAGTTCTCGAAAATGAAGCTTGGAGGATTTCAGTATTTCATTACTGATAATACTATTATGTATTCAGCATTATAATACATTACTGTACTGAAATGTTAATTCTTCTATTTAAATTAAATTGCTCTGGCAACTCTATGTAGGCTTGAATTTCTTGAGGTATAGTATTTTTAACTTGAGCAGGAAAATCAATAAAAACAATTACAGTTGTAAAGTTACTGAACTATTTATTAGATGTGCTTGGAAGCTACCCCCTCTGAGATGCATGTATAAACATTCAAACATTTGAAAACTATTCATTTGGAATATATTTTTTAAAATTACTTTTATCCAATCGGATGATGGTCTAGGAAGCAAATGTATTTTTCCTTTGCAGATAAACATGACAGCTACTCAAATAGATCTTTTGAGTTTCATGCTTTATAACCTTCAAAATTACACATTTTACAGTTGCCAGGTGGTTCTGTTTTCTTACCGCCTCAAAATTTCAGAAACTTTACTTTCTTACAATTAAGTTTCATAGTAATTTTTTTTCTCCTAATCAAAAATTTCTGTCAGAATTTTGTTCAACTTTTTTTTTATTAATTAATAACGTCACACAAATTTTAGAGCCATAAGTGAACTAGACTCAACGAAACACATATTACTTACTTCTATTTCAGGATTTACACCTCTAAATGAAAACCTGCCATTTAATAGCTGAAGACAAGGAATGAAACTTGATTCCATTCTGCATAAGTTTCTAATTGAACACAATTAAAATCATGTTAATTAATTCACATATTCAAAGTAAATAACAATATAAAAGTAACAAAAGCAAATAAATATTAAAATGAAGATAATGCATTTTTTTAAATGTAAAGCACACCTCTTTCCATATCAAAGGAATTAATCAATTTTTTGCACCATTTTAAAATTTATAACAAATTTGTACTTTTTCACTCTGCCATCAACCACAATTGTCCAAGTTTCTCAGCCTTGGCTTGGTTTATTGCAGAGGATGAGATCTAAACTTTGCCTTTGTATTTGTATTTGTATCTAAACTTGCTTAGATAGCAAGTGACAAGATAGACCAGTTTGAATATCTCTACATCCTTTTCGGGGTGTTTAGAAGGCCAAGTCAGTCCTAGATTTAGCGAGGGGCAAGCTGGGGTTCTTGCCCTAGGCGGCAAATTCAAATATAACACAGGATCATATTTGGTACATTGTTCGCTAAAACAGCTCTCTAATTTTAGTACAATGTCAATACACTGAAGTGCCACTGATTTATGGATAGACATGGCTGTGCAAATTTTATAGCACTCCGCGGCATCTGTGCTAACGGGAGGAAGTTGTGGTAAATACACATACAGCTAGTACTATGGTGGTTGTTAATCAGTTGTTTCAATTACCAGGATGGGTAAAACTTCTGATTTAGACAGCTTCAATTTCATACAGATAGTAGGCACTCGACACATGGGCCATTCAATTTCCAAAATCCTTAGTGAGCTAGGATTTTCAGGGTCGACAGTGTCAAGAGCATACCGAGAACACACGGATGGTTGGATAAAGAACTAGCGATCGGGCAAATTGCAAAGGAACTTTAACATAGAACAAGCATAGTATGAGATGGCTGAGCTGTACTGTACATAGTCAACGAAGCCAACATTAGCTCAAATTACCACACCCACTGAATCAGGGCGACAGTCAAACAGTCAGTAAAAGGATCGTGCAACGCTCGCTTCACCATATGGGCTTTGAAAGCCATAGACACGAGTACCTTTGCTGAATGCATGCCATCGAGTTGCACTTCTTGCCTGGGCAACAGAATACAGAGAATAGACTCTAGTGGACTTTAAATGAGTAGCAAGAAGTGATGAGTCTCAATTCCGACTAATTAATACCGATGGGAGGCTGAGATTATGGAGTCAGACTCATGAAGCCATGAATCTTGTATGGCAGACTAGAACTGTATAAGGCCATGGTGGCTTAACCATGGTCTGGGAGGTTTCCTCTTGGCAGTGTTTGGAATCTTTGGTACTAGTACCAACCTTCAGTACATAGAGTATGATACCAAATATGATTTGGTACGTAGAGTTGCTGGGCGTTCATCTCCATCCATTTATGTTGTCCTGACATTCACGCGGAATTGCAGTAACCCAGCAAGATAACTGCACCTCTCCCAGGTCCTGGTTGGCTACTGCCTGGTTGGATGAGCATTCTTCTGACTTCTCTGTCATAAATTGGCTACATAAAAGCCCCGACTTAAGTTCTACTGAGCATCTTTCGGATGTTTTGCAGAAAAATTTGAAACCTCATCACACAACTCTAGCAATGCTTCCTAAATTGTAGACAGCTCTATCTGATGTTTAGGAAGCCATTCCAGTAGAATGCTTCCAGAAACTTACTGAATCTTATTGAATTCCAGAATTCCTCATCGTTTGGCAGCCATTCTAAAGGCCAGTAGAGGCCCAACTCGTTATTGACTAGCTATCCCTAATTCAGTGGCACTTCAGTATAGTTTTAAGGCAAAGTTTAAAAAACTCTTTTAAGAAGATTTATAATTAAATACTAAGAACCCTTTTAAAGGAACATGAGTTAAAGTTAAGTACAGCCGATTACAAGTATAAATATAAGATCAGAAAGAGGCCAATGGAGGGATTCCAGGCATCACTGATAGAATCAGACTAACCCTATCAGTAACGTATGGAGTCCCTCTATCGTTTCCTGTCTGGGTGGGATGTATTCAAATGAGAAACATAATGACAGCTTCTTGAAGAATTCGGCTAGTTTCCATAGCAACGTCTGCTGGAAAATGGAGAAGCATTGTAACTATTTTCCAAGATTAATTTTTTGGCTATCTTGGACAAATGAAATAATTTGAATTAATATTCGTCGAGTATATGCAAGATACCGTCATTATGTCTTCAAGATGAAGCAAGAAATTTGGACTTTTTTGCAGCCAGTCGGCAACTTAGGCTCACCTTTGGTTTGATTCGGAAAAGTGGAACGCACTTTGGATTTTAAAGCTAGATTTATTACTTTTAAGGTTTTTTTTTTTTTTTTCTTTTTTTTTTTAGTTTTCAGGTTTTTCTGTACTCTTTTTTTCATTTTTCCTTCCTTTTTTTTAGATATGCTTGCTTTGAGCACTATATTTAGTGAGACGTGATCATATATTTATGACTGTTGAGAGTAATTATGTCAATTCTCAGTTATTCTTATTAAGGCAATTCATAGTTTATTTCATATAGATTGAAAGAAACCATCTGCATGCCAAGGGGAAGAAAAGCGGAATATAGAAAACGGGCCAAATAAGGCCAAACAGAGAAAACAAACTTCAGCTAAAATGAAAAAACAACTTCACGGAAGAAGTAAACCGTCAGACCCCTGCCGCAATTCCGATTATGCCGAGATTCTAGAGGGTATTAATATTTCTTGAAATTTGTGCAACAAAACATAACTGCATATATCATCCTCAAATAATATTCAAGTCAGCATTTGAAAGAACAACCTTCTTCATCGAAATCAAACATAGCTGGAGGATATCAAACCATGACATAAAGACATCTTCATTTAGATAGGGGCGGGCAGCAGAAAGACGAAAAACTGAAAATTTTTGATTTGTTGGACCCATGCAGTTGGCTGGTCATAGAAAAAGAATGAACGATCACCAACAATCTTTCTTCAGCAGTCAATCAGTATTATTAGCCGGCAAACATTCAGGTAATCCTCAGTCCCACTGAATGTGATGGAAGACATTTGACATGTAATACATAACATTAGTAAATAATGAAAAGCTTAGAAGATCTTGCTTTACATTCTAAAAACAAGAATGCAATTTTTTGTACACCAAGATTTATCAGAAACATGGTGTTATTGCTTCACTATACTACAGGATTCATTAATTGGAAAACGTTTTAGCAAGATTAACTGAGCATTGAGCATCTGGAATCCACAGAGGTACTTGATTAAGTGGAAAATTTGAGTAAAACAAATGAAATTTTGCCAACGTATCGACCACGACACTGAGCGACTCATTCACACAGAGAAAGAAAAATGGAAAGAAATTCTATAAAATCATGTGGTACTATATCTTTCAACAAACTGTCGTTCTTTTCTTGGGTCTGATGAAATCCCAAGTAGCCTATTCACAAAGTGTGCTCAATCTAGAAAAGGAAAATTTCTGAATTTAATCTCTTCGCTTGCCAAACATAATTCAGTTCTTAAGTACCACTCAAAGCACCAACAAAGAGAAAGGAATCACATTTATCAAAAGGAAGTTAATAACTTAAACTTCCTTTTGATAAGGCAAAACAGTCTGAAGTAGCATTTTAAATGATATTAAAGAAACCAAATACAGTCAAAAGTCGTTAATTCGGACACCCATAATGCGGAATGATCTATAATCCGGACCTCAAAGCTACAAACTTTGGCGTCTTAATTGACCCTTGATGGTTTAGATGTTGGACAATGTCTGTGTCAGTCTTATGACAATGGTTTTAATATGGCTGGCATTTCTAAAACAATACAAGCTAAGATTACAGAAATGAATAAGCTGGAGGAATTTTTGCTATGTTTGGCTCACTCCTCATATCTTGTCGGTGTTCATTCTGCTTCTTCGTGCCGGAAGCAGTTAATCTGTTTGGAATTACTCAGAAAATACTTCGCTTTTTTTGTCAGATGCACTACTTGAAGGTATATTATGAAAAAATGTACAAAATACAACTTAAAAGAAAGCAGTCAGATAAGAAGGTCAGCAAAATATGTGGCAGTGAAAGTCCTTCTAATGAATTTACCAGAAATATAAAATATTTAAAAGAAATTAAAGATACTTAATACAGAATTCAAAGTCTTGCGATTCTGGCAACTGAAAATTAAACCGCAGATCAAATTATGATGATTCCATGCACTTATTTGCAAAACAAAAGGTTTACAGAGTAAAATTTTAATTTTTGTTACTAATTCTGTGATAATAGCGTTTAAGCAGGTAAGAACTTAAAATTACCTATGAAATAGGAAGTATGATTGATCCCAAGAATAGCCCATATTTTGTATGCAATGGCCCCTTTATTGGCTGAGCAATAATAACCACTGAGCACTAGTAGTTCGGTCCGAGGGTCAAGTACATGTGAATGTTTTGACTGTATGAGCATTTCCGCGACTTTCCCTGAGCTAGTTTCCCTTAAAATTTTTTTTCCACAGAGCATTGCTCCATTTCCATGCAGTGCTTAATAGTGTCACACATAGTAAATAATCAGACAAATGTTTTCAGTAGAGGCCGAGTGATTAAAAAAGCTAAATACTGGTAGTTCAACCTTGTCTGGGTTCAAATCCAGGTGAACGGGCTGGCTGCATGGTTTGTTTTCATGGATTTGCTCACGTGTAATTTGAATATGAGTCAGTTTCCTTTAAAAGGTTCCTCGACGAAAGAACCTCTCCTCTAAGCAGATAGCCCTTGTGTCTTTCCCATATTCATATAAAACCTAACCTAATTTAACCAGTATGCAATAAATCCGAAAGTAAGCTCACCAGAAAGGCGATTCTCTTAGGAGGACATGATTTTCTAAATATGTAACTTTGGTACGTAGTTTTCCTTTATTAAAAAAAAATCTGATGTGTACACCACATGACTTCCTTGTATGGAGTATTAAATTATACGCATTTTTCTTGCATTTCATTTAAACTTATTGGACTGAATTAAATCTACTTCGCCGACAGCGCATAAACCACAATAAAATAAATGCATTCTTTAAAATTCACTCT